CTGTTCTCAGCCAAAGAACAGCCGCTATAGATCACCGCTGTTATAGTATGGAGAGTGATTAAACAGCATGGCCTCGGAGATCCCCCATACTGTTTTCGTTTTCAATTTTATCAATATGATTGTCACAAAGCAACAAGACAATGTGTTGTATAAGAACACATGACCTGCAAATGTATGCTGGATTCTCTCAGCATGTACAGGATATGCAAATGTAATTGTATCTTGTGCATAATTGATTTAAAAGCTGCTGCATGCATACATGAAGTTAGTTTTCATCAAGTATCTTCTCAAGCAAGACATTCTGTGTTTGACATCTGTTTTTGTGTGGTGTCTTGTTGTTTTCCTGTATTAATTTTATTTTGAATATTAATTCAATAAGAGATTGCGTCTTACCTACTTGGAGGTCAATATTGCAAGAATTTCACATTTTTATCTGTCTTGGATTCCAGCAGCATGTTTCTCTTTCATTGATAGACAGCGTATAGTAAGCACCACTTGATGGATCTCTTAGGTTGAGTTGCGGTATGACCAAACAGCTGTGGTTTGGTAAATTATACGATTAAGGTTGTGTTGTTGTTTTATTTAGCCATGTGAACTCTGATTTTTATTTTGAATGACAAATTATTTCCACTCCTTTGAAGTAATTAAGTTTTTAGATCATCATTCTCCTCCTTAACACTTCCAGCAGTGAGCAGCTGCACAGAGGGCTTAGCATTAGGAGTTGCTCTCTTTGATTTCTTTTGAAGGTATACAGTGAATACTATAATATGATTTTTTCCAGCATCTGGGCTGAAAGAGAGGAGTACCTTCAGGAAGAATGGTGTCACTGAGGAGTATGTGTGTGTGCTCCTCTATAGAGCTCAATTACAAGCACCAAAAAGACCCTCTGCACTGTTTCAAAGTCCAGCTGCATTGAAGTGCAGACCACATTGCACAAAAAAAAAATCATACCAGTTTTTAAGATGACATTTCTTTTCTTAGTCCATGCAAAATCATTTTCATAATTCACACTTCAGATTAGCATGTCGAAAACAACAACAACAACTGACTTTAAAGTCAGGATTTAATTTTGACTTTAAATAATATTAATACTCTACACTCTCCTGATATACATCTCCCATTTTTGGGAGAAATAAAGTCAGAATGTCAGGGTGATACAACTGCTCTAAAATTATGATATAGGTAAAAAGAAGAGTAATTTGGCATATATTTGTTTTTTTTTTGTTTTTTTAGAAAAACATTTGAAATGCTTTACTTGTTATAGTTTTTCTCCATTGGTTTGGCTCATTTCTTGAAACAAGAAATTACATTCTCAAAACAACATGGACAAATCTCCAAACTACTTGGCAATTGTTCACAACAGAATTGAATTTCTCGTTCAGTTCATCAAATTGCAAATGCCTAAGTACATGTCTCAATGTCTCAGTACATCTTTGCAAATTATTACGTACAGGTAGCCTACATTTAGCACAATTTCCAAGTGAATAGATCTTGTTGATCTAAACTGATTGTTCATTCTCAGTCTAATGGTTGTTCACTCCAAAATGTGTCAGCTTCATTTCATTGTATAAGTCATCACATGCACAATAGTCTGTTCAATCGTCAAAATTAGTCAAGAACATAATACCATGAATACCATATATGAATCCCTTGGAACATTTGATACATTTATTACAGCAATTGTCAGATCTTGACTAACGAAGGAGGAGTTTCAGACATCTCAGATGACTAATCAAACCGTATGTTTGGTCAAAGAGCTGCAATTACTGTAGTGCCTCCCATGTAAATCTGTCTACTGTAATATATATCTTTAGATAATATCTATCAAATCTATCTACTGTAATACTGTGGGTTTTACTGTAACATTTCAGTAAGTCTAGTCATTGATGATTTTCCCCCTCCCCTTTCTGTCAGATACCCCCTGTAGTACCTCTGCATGGGGGTCCATGTACCCCAGGTTTGGAACCACTGGAGTAGTGGCCAGCAGTATATTGAACTTATTATGTTGTTTTGAGAATGTATTTTCTTTTACCTCTGATGTATGGAAGTTACTTTTTGTGTGTGAATGATAATGGTTACAATTCCTTGGCAGTATGAGTGCAATGTGTGATGTACTCTTACCCTAAAATCCCCCCCCCCCCCCGTATATACGTGTATATATATATATCTACTATATATTATATACAGTATATATATATATATATATATATATATATATATATATATATATACGTATACTGTATAATAAGATATATAGTAGACTATAGTAGACTGTTAGGTTAGAGTAACAATTGAAAGGTTACTTATAGTTAGTAGAATGTTTAAAGTGGAGCATTGAAATAGTGTTTCCTTAATTTTTACCTGATGATTACTCCACAGGAAACTTTTAAAGTGAAACTTTTCAGTTAAACTTTATTTTAAGGTGTCTTTGTTTTGCTGAAATCATTCATTTAAGTAGTGAGTAATATGGTAATTTGGTGTGAAAAACAAAAAACAAAAACAAAAGAACTCTGGACAGATGAAAACTTGCAAGGTTAGAAACTAACCCATTATGATTTCAGGAAGTGAAACTGGTCATATTTATACCCAGGTTTGAGATGCTTTAGTGTCTGGTTACTGTCTTGTTTAACTGCCAGTGTGCTTCCTGATCATTGTCAGTGTTGCACGCTCCCACCCTATTGACTTAAGAGTGAAGGGCTCCCAGCTACAGTGTTTTCCCACACTACTGTGGAGTATCCCACATGGGAATAGTGATGATGTCATGAGCTACCACAAATTCCAGCACAGAGGCTTAAAAAATGTTGTTATCGTCCTTAAACACGACAACAGGAAGGTGCTGTGACAGATTGCAACATCGGAATTGTTACTCGCGTGACAATAAAATTTAATTTGAGCGTTAATTTCATTTCCAACATCTCATGTACTCTCTCTTTGATATAAAACGAGTTTATTTTTAAGAATGATCTCCTCTGAGTGTTTTAAGTGATGCACAAAAGCTCCAGTCGCTCAAATAAATGATTATGATTTCACAAACAAACAGCCTCGCCGCAAGTTCGTAATGTAGCCACAAGATATTGATGGCTAAATTGATACTTACTCGATTTAACGGGAAAAATATCCTTTCCTCGTTGTGGAAGCCTAGCCAACGGTCTACCTCAGGAGTCACTGTGGCTGTTAAGGATAGCAGCAGTACTCTTTTAGCTTTGCTCTGCCTCTCCACAACAAACATGTCTTAGAAAAACACAGCCACAAGACCACATTGCGGGCCAAGATCTTCCAGCTCCTGCCTTTGGGGGTGGCTCAGTCTCCTCGTGCAGTTCTAGCAAAGTGTCCTCTGGCACTCGGCAGTTCTCACACCACTGCGGCTCTCTGACCCATATTTGACTGTTTGGGAAGTCTGCAGCTGGAGGAGCTTGTGGGGTTTTAGAGCCTCATGGTGGAGCTGATTGAGTCGAATATACCTGAACCAGCTGTGAGGCTTTCCGCACACTGCGCAATCCCTCCAAGTTTGTGTTCCTGCAGGCGGGAAGTTAAAGCGGTGTAAAGGATCTGAGAAGCATATGTGCATACAGAGGTTTAAGGGTTGATCTGAATCGCGATTAAAAATTTTTCGTTAACCCGAGCCCCATAAGCGGCTGGGTCGATAGCAGGAAGATTTAAGGACTGTTAATGCAGACAGATGGGCGTATTGTCTGTGAGAAAAGTACCGCACCACCCCCTCTGCCTCCCCAATTGATCCTGCGCTCCCTTAACCTCTATTCTCCGTTGCTCTATTCTTGGCATTTCATTGTGACGTGAAGATAAATAGATTAAGAGAGGAAATGCATTTTATGGGATGAGGGGGTCTTGGGTTATTTGGGTGGTCTGTATGCCGAATCCTATGATGCTTTATGTAAAGCTTAGGCTACGCCTGCATTAATCTGTATAGATTTGAAAATTACATTTTCATTGTGTAAAACATAATAAAAACTCATTGAGAGGATTTCAAGCATAATTCAAGCATGACCAAACATAATAAAGTTATCAACTAATTAGCTAAATATTAGCCATTAATTAAATATATAACTTACTGCTGCGTCCAGGTCACACTCAATGGCCGTTCCATGCATTGCTTAAAACGCAATTGCACTCGTGCTTTACTGCAGGACAGCAGTTGGGGAAATGTAATATGAAGATTGTACAAAGTAAACATAAACACACAGTAGACCTCTATCGTCACAAGACTATACCTGCTTCACGTTATACCTCCACAAATACCTCCATTTTCACAATCCATAAATGCAAAAACAGCATTTTATAATTTATCCACTTGAGAAAGCTTCTTCAAAACTCTCAGTATTTTCTGGAGTCTGGACTAAAATGCCATCTCTGTGTGTACAGAAGGGCAAATTGTAGAAAAAAGGATGTTTTTAAATGTACCCGGATCAGATGATGATCCCGGCACAGATGATGACTGGAGCTTCACTTTGCACTGTTTCAGCTGAGTCTTGCGCTTCATGTACCTGAAGGCTTGTATTACAGTCGTGACGAGTGCCGAGTACAGCACGCTTTGTACTCTACATAGGGTCACATTAAAACAGCCACATAATTGTTGGTGTTTGAGGATGAAAGGAGAGTTTGTTTTGCAAAAAAATCCCTTAAATTAAATGGACTGTGTGCTTATTGCCTTATATAAATGGCAAACACTAGAACTGTCCCATAAACACTCAAAAGTAATTTTCAATCTCTCAGCTGTAAATATTTATACATATGATAAAGTAATGATAAAGTATGATTTATATGATAAAGTAATTTATTATTTATTACATTATAAATGTTTTACTGTCATTTTTTTTATCAGTTTAATTTGTCCTCAACTAGAATAAAAGTGTTTCAAATTTGCATGCAAAAATGAATATGTAAGGCCCCGCTACTACATTTTTAGGAATGCAGGCTTCCATAAACCAGCCCATAATTTGCAAGTTAAAAACATATTAATAGCTCTTGTTTATTTGTTCCAGGGACTTAACGTCAGATGAAACGTACACCTACCATGTGCTGACAGTATCTAGAAGAGCAGAGAGTGAACCATCTCCACCTCTCTCTCACCAACTGGGCTCACCCTACTGTGGAGATGGACTCATCCAAAAGTCAGTGCACTCTCTTGAACTTCAATGAACTTCAATGCAGTGCTTACAATGCACTGCAATGTAGCAGCGATGTTAATTGTGTGATGTAACTCTTTTAATGAATTAAATGTGTTTGCCTTTCAGATATCTTGGAGAGCAATGTGATGATATGAACTTCGCTAATGGAGATGGCTGCTCAATCCAGTGCAAGAAAGAACCATTATTCAACTGTGTTGGTATGTGACCATCAACAATAGGTAGAAATGTTAAAGGAATAGTCCATAACTTTTGTCTTTTTTAGCCTCTTGTCATTCCAATCCATATATGTATTTTTTTTCTAGGGAAAACAAATGGAAAATTTGTGAAAAGTTTTTGCACTGCTCTTTTCTATTCAGTGACGTTCAAAGACTTTTAGGTTTCAGTATGTATCTCAAACAAAGCTTTGTTAAGTCTTCAGACTTAGTTCACCCCCCCCCCCCACATTCCCATTTTGTTATGGGAACCTGACAGACCTGGTGGTTCCTTAACTGTCATTGTATGGAAAAGAGCTGTAAAATACCTTCTTTTGTGCACGGCAAAAAAAAAAAAAAATGGGTTGAGAATGACATAAGTCTGAGTAAGTAATGACAGAAATTTCTTTTTTAGGTTGAAATATTCTTTTAATGCTTATTTATTTATCACAATTTCAACAAGAAAGTACAATAAAGTAGATGTATAATAAGTATGTAAAGCATAGCATCAGTTTGATTGATGTTTTTGCTCCGGCAGCATTTAGCTGTATTGCTCATTATACTTCTATAGCGCTCTACTGATGCCGGGTGTCCTGCCATCAATCTCATGGCTTCAGCCTGTCATCAGTGTCACATAGTGTCCTACACTGACAATGCGTGAAAGACCAAGAAGTTCTTTCGTACTACCTCTTTATAGCACAAAACTTTTTAGCTGGTTGTGATGTTAATGGAGTGCTCTAAGTTGTGAGCTAATCAGTTCTGTCAAAACAATTGGGCTCATAATTGGGACCCTCTTACAGACATTTAAGTCCCTTCACAAAAGACTTTACTCTTTGCTGTAGAGCTCTAAGATCTGCCTAACGAGCACTAGCGGACCTTTGTGGCACTTCCTGTTAGCAGTAATGCAACAATCCCCTTTTCTTCTAAACGTGTGGACAGAAAACTGGAGTGGAGTAAAAAAAGACAGAGAGAAGAAAAGAAGGACAGATAAGAAGGGCTTTTGAAGTTTGCTGTTGAATGTAGCCAACATTCATCTAGCTGAAGTCTTGTCTGACCTCTAGGACACCTCTAGAAGTCTGAGGTTGCACTAGTACCCGACAGTGCTTAATTGGCAGTTCCGGCTTTTTTTTTTCTTTTTTCTTTTTTTATGGGGAAGATCATGGGTGTAGGTTCAATGAGTTTGCATCTTTGGCTGCCTTAAAGAAACAGTTGACACAAATTCAATTTTGTCATTTACATCAACAATGCACAAAAGTAAAAATTCACAAAGACAAATTTTATGAGTTAAAATTGTTGTTGTTGTTGTTGTAATCTTCCAATTAATAATTTTATCCTGTTTACAAACATTGTCTGAATTATTTGTTTATAAATCAGACTGATCCAGTTCTTAAAGTCATCTCACTCACAACAGTTAACAGCTCACTGAATTAGAAAATATTCTGTGAATAACGTCTCATGTTACGTAACCCTGGTTCCCTGAGAGGGAACGAGAGCTGCGTTGTCTAACGCAATGGGAACGTTCTGCGTGATTGCTTCGTGAAGCGTCTGTACAATCAGTCCAATGAGAGAGTAGGACGTCAGGTGACGTCATTGACCAGGAAACTATAAACCACCCTTGAGATCAGACCGCGACAGCTTCTGGAAAGGCCTGAAGCAAGTCGATCAGGGCATGCAGGAAGTATGGCAGGCGAACGCAGCTCTTGTTCCCTCTCAGGGAACCAGGGTTACATACGTAACCTGAGACGTTCCTTTTCAAGAGAACTTCGAGCTGCGTTGTCAAACGCGATGGGAACCCCATACCCACTACGCCATGCTGAGAGGTGCCCGTTCTGTGTGAAGTCCTTGCGCGCACTAAAAAGCAAGCAACCTAGCCCAGGAGTGGAGAGGCCAAGGTCATGAAATCTGAAAAATGTATCTAGGGACATCCTGCCGCATTACAAATATCAAGAAGGGAAACACTCGGAATAAAGGCCGTAGAGGCCGCCATACTTCTAGTAGAATGACTATCCTCAACTATCCATTTGCTCATAACCTGTTTAGATGCAGGGGACTCTTTCTTGAGTGACCCAAAGCATAGCGTAATTTGCATAGCGTAACTACGCCCCACCCCGTGGGTATAAAAGGAGGAAGTGAACGCAACCGCAGTATGTCTTCGCTGAGGACCCAAGACTGAACTCAGGCGTCTACCCAGCGGTACAGCAGAAGTGGCAAGGAGACATAACATCTCCGTTCCCTACTCAGGGAACGAGGGTTACATCCGTAACCGAGACGTTCCCTTTCGTAGTCACTCCGAGTTACGTCGGAATGCTGGAGAATGGGTGTCCGTGCCATCACGCCATCTTCACAGCTGTCTTCCAGTGCCCTGCGAAAGTGTGGACTCCTAGCTTAGCTTATAACAGGAGTTACCTACTTTAACGCAGGAATACCACGGTACACTGGGAAACATATCCCGGGAGGGACATGCTACCAAATGCCTACCGCAGGGAGGACTTACGAATACACATATGGCCTTATTAGGGACTTCATATGGAGATAACTGGAGCACCAACCTGAGGGTGGCTAAGAACTTAACTCCAGGAGTGGCAGATGGCTTGCCAAGGGAAGACACAAGCTCAGAGAGGCTTACAGTAGATAATACACATGTGAAAGTTACCATAGGGAACCGTGCACACGGAGACACCTAGCCGGCATCCAGAGCAAGTGCAGTGGTACCCGCATCAGAAGTGCTGGAGGACTCAGGGCTTCAACGGAAGACTCACTGAGGAATATCGCACTTATCCAGTCCGAGGAGTGGAATGGTGAGCAAGCGAGGACACCTAAGCGGGTCCAGTACTAGCGGGAGCGAGTACGCGAGAGAACACCGGCTCTATTCGCAGATTATAGAATCTTGCGAAGGTGTTTGGTGTTGCCCAGCCTGCAGCTCTGCATATGTCTGTTAGCGAGGCGCCATGCGCTAGAGCCCAAGAGGAAGCCCCTCTCCGAGTGGAGTGGGCCGTCACACCAAGGGGGCACGGTCGACCTAGCTGTTGGTAAGCCAAAGCGATGGCGTCCACTATCCAGTGAGACAGCCGTTGCTTTGAGAGAGCCCTTCCCTTCTGGCTCCCCCCATAACAGACAAAGAGCTGGTCTGAGGTCCTGAAACACTGCGTTCTGTCAACGTAGGCGCGGAGAGCATGTACCGGACAGAGCAGTGCCAAGGCTGGGTCTGCCTCCTCCAGGGGCAGCGCTTGCAGGTTCACCACCTGGTCCCGGAAGGGAGTGGTAGGAGCTTTGGGCACATATCCAGACCGGGGTCTCAAGATCACGTGAGAGTAAGCCGGCCCGAACTCTAGGCACGCTTTGTCAACGGAGAATGCGTGTAGGTCCCCTACCCTCTTGATGGAGGCCAATGCAACCAGGAGTGCTGTCTTCATGGACAGAAACTTTAACTCTACCGATTGCAAAGGCTCAAAGGGAGGCCTCTGCAGAGCACTTAGAACTACTGAGAGGTCCCAAGAGGGCACGAGGGGAGGGCGAGGCAGATTTAGCCTCCTCACTCCCCTCAGGAACAGGCCAAGGAGGTGCTGTCGCGAGGAGCATCAGTTCGGAGAACCACGTCTTGGTGGGCCAGTAAGGGGCTACCAGCAAGACCTGTTCCTCGTCCTCCTTGATCTTGCACAACACCCGTGCAAGAAGGCTCACTGGGGGAAACGCATACTTGCGTGGGCCCCGCGGCCAGCTGTGCGCCAGTGCTTCTGTGCCGAGCGTGCCCTCGGACAGGGAATAAAACTGGGTGAAGTTGGATGAGTCCCGAGAGGCGAACACGTCTATCTGTGCCTCCTCGAACTGGTCCCAAATCAGCTGGACCGTCTGGGGATGGAGTCGCCATTCGCCGGAAATAGGGCGGACCCGTGACAGCTCGTCGGCCGCCAGGTTCCGGTCTCCTGGAATGTAAACTGCACGAAGGGACCTCAGGTGCTTCTGACTCCATAACAGGAGGTGGCGTGCGAGCTGCGACAACCGACTTGAGCATAGACCACCCTGATGGTTGATATACGCTACCATAGCGGTATTGTCCGAACGGACAAGTACGTGTTGACCCCTGAGCAGTGCTCGATAGCGGTGCAGGGCCAGGCGTACTGCCAGCAGCTCGAGGCAATTGATGTGCATGAGGCGCTGGGGTCCTGTCCAGGAACCCGCGGCTGCATGACCATTGCACATGGCACCCCAACCCGTGGTAGAGGCATCCGTGGAGACAACGACATGCCTGGAAACTCGCAGAAGAGGGACTCCGGCACATAAAAAGCTGAGGTTCGACCACGGAAAGAAGGTCTGGCGGCACGCTGGAGTCACTGGAACTCGGAGCGAGCCGCCATGCCCACCTCGGGACTCGATCGCGAAGCCACAGCTGAAGCGGTCTCATATGAAGCAGTCCGAGCGGCGTTGCCGCGGCTGCGGATGCCATATTCCCCAGGAGCCTCTGAAAAAGTTTCAATGGGACCGCACTCTTGCCCTCGAACTGTCGAAGACAAGTCAGCAGTGAGTGCGCGCGCTCGTTCGTGAGCTGCACGGACATGGCGACCGAGTCTATCTCCATACCGAGAAAAGAGATCCTCTGCACGGGGCAAAGTTTGCTCTTCTCCCAGTTGCATTCTTTTGATCCCGCTCCATCTCTAATCTAGCTCCCGCGCTGCTCCTCTTCCGACTCATTGTGACTGATCACGCAAACCGCCACACATTTTTTCTTTTTCATATTGGGGCTTCTGAGAAATGTTGAGTTGCCTTACTTTATTTAGACAGTGAATAAACTCGTGAAACAGAGAAGTATCACCGTGTAATCCATTGATTTCAACAATGTAACTTGAAGGGTGCAGGCAGAGCGAGGCGCAGAGGCGGGACCGGCAGAGCGAGGCGCAGAGGCGGGGCCGGCAGAGCGAGGCGCAGAGGCGGGGCCGGCAGAGCGAGGAGTCTGGGCACGCTCACCGGGGCCTGGCGAACCAAACGAGTCCTCCTTCTCCTCCTCCTCC